GGGGGGGAATCCAATGCCGTTTCTCATGACAATTCCAGGATCTTGCAACAGCCTTATTTTACAACCTCGACAGATAAGGTGTCATGGCGGCAAGGCATCAGATAGTAGTCCAGACCTAACAAAATCTTTGTGTAGGGATACAATTAAAATAAAAAAAGAAAATAATTATTTGAGGCGGTAAGAAGGACCAGGTTTAAAAAATTTGAGCCCTTGTACAATCCATTCTTCATTATTCAATTCTTTAGTTTGAAAGTTGTCTACCTCACCTTGTTTTCCAGGACGGAGTGAATTTCCGTGATGCTTCCTGATGAAAATCATTGAACCATTTTTGCATCCACTCTCATCATCTGACGTATCTGAGTCCATGGAGTTAGACTTGTGCCTCCGAGAGTCACTGGATTTAACTTCGCTACAGCTACTTCGATCCTTCTCATTACTTTTCTTGTTTAAGTGTAAGTGGTTTGATAGAGGGTATGCTTTTGCCGTTAATACCTGAAACATTAGGCAAAGGTTAATTAAAAAAAAAAAGAAAAAAAAGAGAGAAATTTACACTTCTTTGGATTTACACGAGTCCTGAAATCTACGCACTGGCAAATACAAAATTTACACTGAGAAGAGTGTGGAAAAAAATTATCACTTTGTTTGAAAAAAAAATTAGTCTTGAGGTAAAGTTCCTCCATTTGATAAATATCATTAACAGTAATTTTCGAATTTTATTTTGATGTAGGTAAAGTCATTTTTTTAATATTTATGAAAAAAAATCTCGAAATGGTGTCAATGAAATTTCACAACAGCAAACCTGTGGAGACTTTTTAATGAGAACGTTACATTTTTCTTAAAAAAGAATGAGAAAACATTACAAGAACAACTACGAACACCACTGTGAAAATTCAGTAACTTTTTAACGTAGATCTTTCTAATCCTTGAATAGTCATTAAAAATTAAAGAACGGGGTTCAACTCAGTAAAATAATTTTCCAGCACAAACACATAGAAAACGGAAAAATTACTTTCATCGTGATCCTCCAGGGCCGATAAACATTTTCCACCTCCGAAACAGGTTCAATCACCGGCTCCCACACTCGTTTATCACCATTGTAACAGGATGCTTCTAGCAGGAGCTCCATCTTCAGTTGTAGTTCACTTGACCAATTTTTCATGTTTGTTTCAAACTTAGCAGTGAGCAACAAGACTGGAATCCGTTGACTAAAGTCCTCCACCTCAAAGAGCACTCGAATTTTTGGAAGAAAAATTGTGAAAGATTCATTGAGCTTTGGACAGTAAGTATTACAACAGATGTTTGTGTTCAGTGCATCAAAGTACAGGCTTGGAGAAATCTTTTTCGGGCACCTGGAAAAATTGTAAAATGGACAATAAGTTGATTAAAAATAAAGTTTAATCAAACATTTTTTATAAAATCTTGAGAAAGAAAAAGTAATATCTACATCAGACGTACATCAAAAATCAAATTTGTCAAAACATTACAGCACAATGCCACAGAACAATTTGAATTCAAAAATCTTGTAAAAAGTAGTGGATTAACATCCAAACTTGCGCCATAGCCACTCATTTTATACAACACAAATTACTTATGAGTCCTTCTTTTTCGATTTTTTTTTTTTTGTTACCTATATATTTAGTTCATGCTAGAGTCATTGCTAGGTTTCTAAAATACACTTCATTAAAAATTATGAAATTTTTTTTATCTTGAAAGCAAAAATTTCAGTTTGCTGATTCAAATAACTGAGGACCTTCTGAAAGATTTGAAGAAAAAAATGGTTTTTCAGTCTTCTATTCAATTACATATCATGCATTGGCTGTTTTCTCAACACCAAGTTTTTAAAGTACTTTTGACACTAATGCACTTCAATTTTAAGTGACAATCAATGAAACCAAAACCAAATGCAACATCAGAACGACATCCATTTACTCAATGCAATTGCTTTAGAAAGTGATGTTCGATGCATTTTTAGGCCCATTCATACTTACTTTTAGTCCTTAAAACCTGTGGTATGGCTACATCTGAGGTTTAAAATCATGTAAAATATCCCTTGAAGTGAATCTAAAAAACAGGTCAGAGGGGAAGTTGTAAAAAATTACCAGAGATTTTCGTAGTCACTGTCACCACAAAGTTCCTTCAAATCATGGCTGTCATCATTCATCCTTAAAGTATCACAGACTTCGTTCACTATCTCCACAACAGTCTGCACAATAGTTGTTGAGAGATTTAAATTGATGGAGCTCACACACGTGGTTATTTTCATTCCCTCGTCCGAAAAGCGCAAGGTTTTTTCAACCTCAATATCACACGGATTCAGCACCAGGTAAGTAGATTTCGGGCAAAGGTTGTTTTGAATTTTTGACAAAATATGCAGTCCTGATAGGGAGCAGACTAATGATTCGCGACCAGAGTGCCTGCTGTAATCGAGCAAGAATTCTGTCCGTACCAGAAGAGCTATTTTGGTGGTGAAAAGCATGATTTCTGGCCTTCGTAATTTGATAGATAAGGATAAACCTGTAAAATAAAACAGAATCTCTTTTTTTTAACTCATATGACTTTTTTATTATTAGACATCAAAAACTACTTTTGAGTGAGTCAGATACCTCCCTTCAAACTATGTTCAAACTGAGATTTATAAATTTACAAGAACATTTACCTCCAGATTGATTTCAGCTGATTTTTTCTACTTTTCCTTGATAGAACACTTCTGTTGCTTCAAAAGTTGAAAAAAACCTATATTGATTATGTTGCTTTGATTATCCACTGGTTAACTTTAAAATTTCAGCTCCCAAATATATTTTGGCAAAAAAATAATGCTTTGCAAAATTTTGAAAGCTTGGGACCTTTGATGGATGAATTTGTCAATTTTTGATCAAAACCAATTAAAAAAAGAAGATGGCACTACATGCTGCGTACTGCTGGATGTTAATGCGGGCAAATAACGAGCAAGAGTCATTTAAAGAGTAATTGTAAATTTTTTGTGCCTTTATCCTGATGAATTCTGTAAATTCACTGAACAAAAATTGCATAATTTTAGAATTCATAAAAATAGCAGGAGCACAGTGGCCTCATCAGATTAATGCTCTAAATACTCTGAGACGTCATAAATAAATAAGAGTTTATTGGGGGGAAAAAATCAATATCCAGAAAATGTCAGTTACAGAGTTTTCTCAATCCTTTCGATCAAAATACAATATGATTTCTTACTGATTTGACTAACGAACTGATTTGAAAAAAATAACTGATTGAAAAAATAAATAAATAATACACATACCAGTTTCTGAGTCTGCCCAAGATGCTCCGGATGAAAAATATTCACTTGTACTATCAGCAGAGGACGGGCGTCCTAGATGCGCCCCTTCAAACTGACACCTCTTCTGTGAGGAAACTTCTGCCACAAAGCCAGGATTTATGATTCCACCCTCAAATTGTTTGTCGGAAGGCAGAGCTTCCATTATAAATTGGATCATATCGATGAGAAATGATACAGAAAGATTGAGCCGCGTTCGCTCCACCAAGATGTCCAAACAGCGATCGCCGGAAGAAGTCTGCCGATAAGTTACGTCAATGATTGGTGGAGTTGATACATTGATGTTATCACCCGCTGACAGGTTACTGCAGCTATGACTCTGAAAGATTCTGAGATAGAGAAAGATTAATTAGTTTCTGCCAAAAAATTTTGATACCTAAAATAAATTGTTAGAATACTTCTCGAAAATTTTCTGGGTGTTTAATTTCAAAAGTCTTAACTTTTTTCACTGGGAAAAATCGCTTGTCCTTGTGTTTCTATAAATCTGAGAAACTGATAATTTTCAATTTTTCATAATTTTTAATTTTTTTAATTTTTGTGATCATTCTGACAACTCAAGTTAGCCGGTACTTTACAAAAAAATTGTAATACTTTCTAACTGCATAAAATTTTAAAATTTTTTAGATTACTCACTTGTACTTAAACTTTTTTTTGGAACCCTTATAGGTGCACAGAAGTCTCTCTTTCAGCCGTCAGCAGACTTAGGCTGAGGGCAAAATAAAATATGTTCCAAAACACATTCCAATTTAAGAAAAAAAAAAAAAAAAAAAAAAAAAAAAATTATATGCGAGTGAGTGCACTAAAAAATGTTAAAATTTAATTCATACACCATGTACCTTGTATCAGACCCCACGTATGGATTTGTATTTCCTAACCGTGCCCGATATTTTAAAGAAATTTCCAAAAATTGTGTGCATAAAATTCCTTGAATATTCCAATTTCTTCTGCCAAATCAGCTGCACAGAAGTTTCAAACGACACTTTTTGCAGCGACCAAAAACCCTCAATCTTTAATCCAATATTTCCATCTTTCTAGTTAATGTTCTGATTTTCTAGAATTGCTTGAAATTTATGATTACTCTTGCCTCAGCAAATTGAATCAATTTATGCCACTGAAGTCAAGACAGTACAGTATGCAGACTGATGTCCGCATTCAGCATGGAGTTTTCGTTCTAGATTGACTCCTCAAGCATATAAGTTTAATAATAGTGCACAACATGTGGAGACTTCGGATAATTTTTCACTTGCAGCAAAAATTATTTAACTTTGCAACAATGTGTGCTTCTTTTTTTTACTTTACTACTCTCTTCAGACTCCATTTGCAAAGATGTTTGTGCCTCATTTAAAACTGTCTTTTCTGTACTTAAATGAAAAAATAATAATAGACTCCATAACAAATAAAAAAAGGTACCAAAATTTGGCTCTTGAGACCACAAGACTTCCTGCACGGGAAAAATGGATAATCCTTCATCACAGATAAAATTGTCACAAATATTACCAGAAAATATTGAGTGATTCAAAACAACAAGTTCAATGATAGAAGTAAAATATAGAAATGCTGTCACTAACTTTTTTATGGCACTACTATTGTCCAAACGGATGTCAAGAAGTACACAACTTTGTAGTGAAGCTTTCATTTCTTCACTCCTATCTGAAAATACGTCCAGCAAACAACTTGCTTCTCTCATTTCTAATTTGCACAAAGCATGATTTAAATCACGAATTGGGGAGCTCAGCATCTAAACGGGATGAAAGGGAAGAGAGAGTCATTATAAATACAAAAACAAGCACACTAAAATCAAACTTGTTAATTTACAATGAGAGTATTCAAGAATGGTGAGAGGTAAGTTATGAGAGTTATATTTGATTTAAACGGAAAGAAATTGAGTCACATTTTAGGGGAGAAAATGAAAGAGGAGAAGTTTTGAATTTAATTAGACATACATTTTCTCTTTTCAAAAATAAAAAATATTCATATAAAAATACGTCATGAACATTATTATATGGTGGAATAAGGCTTTCATCTTTTCCTCCATGTGATCTTAATGTGGCTCGGTTCTTTTCTTTCAATTCAGCCCTTAGAGGTCCAAAAAAAAAACATAAAATTAAAAACGGACCTAACATTTTTGACAAAAGCTATCCGAACTGCATTACTTTTTCTTGGTTTTAATACTTCATTTTAAACAAAATAAAAATTGATTAAAATTTTGTGAGGAATTTCGTGTCCGTAGTGCCGATGAAATTCAATGAAATTTTCAAACAAATTCCATTCAGACAGAATTTCTCTGTAAAAAAATAAAATGGCGGTGGAAATTTTGAAACGTCGCATGCCGCTTGTGATACTTTGGCCGGAAGCTGAATATATGTTGGAGTTCCCGCCAATGCTGGGATGCTTTGAGTCCATTATTTTCTGATCAAATTATAGATCCCTTTGCTGTAACATATTTGGCTGATGATAAAATGATGTGGCTCACCTCCTCAGTGTCACTGTAAAGACATAATTGAAGGCTATCTAAACCGATTGAGAAACTGATTTCTTTGCGTATTTGCTCGTGCTGATAGAGGAACGCTTGCAGCTTTCGCACATTGTGATCCTCTGCTTGTCCTGTTGAGACGCCATGTTCAAATGGAGAAATCAAGTGCCATCTGTGCAAATCGTTTGCTAAAATTTTATAAGTAAAACAAAAATTAAAACCTTATGAGCAGATTTGTTAACAAAGATAAGGAATGGATTAAATGAAATAGTGCTTACAGAAAGTAACTGCTGAATAACAAAGTGCTGAATCTAGTGCTTTTTAAAACAGGCCGGATTGTGGTTTTTTATAAGGGATTTTTATGAAAAAAATTGCAGATCATTAGACCACTGTAATTATTGGTCCATGAGTAGTTTATATAGACAGTTGAAAGTTAGGTCACTTTCAGTCTTTCAAAAGAGTTTTGCACAATCAGGCCATGATAAGGAGACAAAACAAGCAAACAGGTGAATTCATACTTACACTTCAAGAAAGAGCTCCCGCAAAAATTATCAGACCAAATGGACAGGATTGTGGACAGGTCTTTTTGATCCAGATTGATGATAATAGGATCAATATTTCCAGTAACTTTGTAAAATAGGAGTTGATTTGATTGTAAGTAATGATTAGGTAGACAAGAAATAAAATTATGATATGCCACTGACCGCTTTACATCTAGTATAACGTTGAAAGGCTCGACAAGTGGCTCCTAAAATACAGACAAAATTAAGAATTTCAGAGGCTTCTCTTGAAAGAGAAATAAAATCTAAAGTGCTCACATTTTATTGGTTTAAGTACCGATTAATCCAAAATCCAAAAATCAAATTTTGATATCTGCTACCGTTCGTCCGAAGAAAAAAACCTGCAGTGCTTTAGGGATATCCTACGTATGCAACAAGAATTTCATTTTAGTCAAATTTTTTAACATCTTTTCTTTTTCAATTCTACTTTGGCCTTATCATCATGTTATAAGATTAAAAATGGAGAGAAAAAAAATCCATTCGAGTTTCATGGCTAAGCCTAGATCCTCTGGTATCAAATCAGATACAGGTAAAAGTTCTGGAAAAAATTATATTTTAATATGCGAAAGCAATAGAAATACGTGGTAATCAAGAGAGGTGACTGCAAAGTATCAGATGCTAAATTAGATCCGTGGCGAGCTGAAATTGGTATGGAAAATAGAACTTGTAACATTCATTGCAACAAATCATTTTCCAACTTTTTTCCCTATCAGTTCCACTTTCTTCAATTGATTTTATTCTTCCCTTAGACCCCCCCCCCC